AAGGATTGGAAGCTAGTCCCAGAATCATAATAAAAGAAAGGGAAGACCCATACCAGCTGAGCAGTGATGGGAGGTATATGCTAGATCTGAAAGAAACATTATTGGAACATTTTCTGTTTAGTGTTTTCTTTAATGATGCTACGGAGGGCATTCTCTGGAGGAAAGAAATGACTTTTGCAGATGACACTGCAAAGACCACTGGAACCCAAATTAGAAAAACATATATAAGCCTCAAGTCATTCCACTTAAAGGCTGATAACAGAATAAGATTCATCTCAGAAACATGCAGACTAATAGTAACAATACGTTTGGGAAAAAAAAATAATCTACAATGCAGAAACTTAGCCGGTGAGTAGGCGAGTGCTGGCCAGAATACCACGCCAGCTACGGGGTGAGAAAAGTCTGTGTTTGCAATGTGATCCTGGAGACAGTCAGCCGAGCAGTCTGAGAGCTGAATCCAAGGGCAACGCAGGTTTCCAGAGTGACAGCGGGAGGCTGCGACGTGGCGCACAGACTGGCCAGTATTCCCCAGAATGAGTATGTTGGTATCTGTAAATATCAACCCCAAGTACATAAATTCAGGTGTTTTAAGGCGGCAAGGAAATGGCACAGTTAGTACTGAAGAAGACCAGAAAGATGTGATATTCTTTCGAGCAGGGGATTTTAAAAACTGGCCAATTGTTTTGAGCACGGAGCGATGACTAAAGAGAACACACTGGCTGTCCGCTTCTTCCTTCTAGTGTCCTCAAGGGACAGGGATGAAACCAGGAAACAAAGGAAGGAAGATGTCTAAAGACGGTTTATAAGTTGACTGTAATTAATAAGTTGTCTATAAAATTGGCCAACCCTATAGAACCAGATCTTTCTTGGGGATTTGTAAATATCTTTGAATATGTCTAGAGTATCCACACACTGATTCTCAAAACACATGCACCTATGATTGAATCACTAGGAAATGCATCAGGTCATCCATTAAGTGTTGTCATTATTAAAATGTTTTTTTTAAATGAGGATCCAGCTATGTTTGTTAGTTTTAATAAATGATAAGTTATAATTGCCAATATTATTTTGGCAATATTAAATTGCCTGGCTTGAAAAATTATAGAAAAGCATTAGAGATTGCTTATTGGCTGAAAGAGAAGTCAGGTACCTTAGAGCCAAAGTAAAGCTTTGGACCTCACATGTAAGGACAAGCCTGGACTCTGGCTACAGCAATTTTGAGCATTCCTTAGTTTCGAATTTATCTTAACATAGACTTAAAAATGAAATTATTTCATCAGGCACTATGCAAAATTAAGAATACATAGTATTATATGCCATTTTTATACTAATGTAGTTTTGAAAAATTCTCGTATTTTTGTTACTGCTGTCAGATAAAAACCTTGGTTAGAACACAGTTCTGGTTTTATTGAGTCTTAGGTAAACTGGTGTTTAAATAACAAAATTTAAGTAGGTAATAGATATTCTCTTCAATAACCATAGCCCTTTCTCTTCAACGGGGCAAGCACAGTATTAAAGGTTTTTACATGGGGAAGAAAAATCCCCAGGTACTAGTAATTCCTATTAAAACTTTTTTGGAAGTCCACAGGGGAAATTTTGTTGTAAACTCTAAAGACAGAAAGTACATGCCAAGATTGACTTGTTTTGACACATCCGTTTCCTTGTGGAGGTTTTTAATCTACCGTTCTCTGTGGAAAGCCGCAGTTAAAACGAGACAGCATGCAGGCTCTGGGTCAGGCTGTCGAGATACAGGGTGATTTGCGATGGGCACCGTTCCCATCCATCAGAGCCCAGTTAAAGGGGTCTGGACCAGGCATGCGACAAGGCACAGTGAACGATGCAGGGAAGGAGTCCTTCATAGGCGGAAGAGGTGGAGTCAGCCAGTGTTAGATTGGAAGACCGAATGCACATAGAGAGAGAAAAATGCCACTAAGAATAGCTGTATCTAGAACAAAGGTCATTCACTATGTGATGTGTTACTGAACCTAATACTCTTTATGAGCACATAGCAGAGATAACGCAGCATCTGACAGTACTAATCTCCCAGGATGCACACAGAGTTCCCAGTAATTAGAAAGTGGGTAGGGAGGATTATTTTTACCCCATTTGTATACTAGCCACATACTCTTTAGTCATGGGCCTGGCACGTAAGATGCCTAAATTGTAATTTCCCAATAAATGCCCTTCTCTTAAGAAACTCTTGATTCCTTAGCTATTTCTTCATGACATAATCTTTAAATATGAGCAGTAATATCAGTTCTTATGTTAAATGGATCTTTCTTCTTCAACCCCCGTCTGTCTGTCTGTATGTCCGTCTCTGTCTCTCTGTCTCTCTCTCTCTGTCTCTCTCTCTCTCTCTCTCTCTCTCTCTCTTTCTCTCCCACACATAATCTCATACATACATACACAGAATTCTTATTTGCCATATAAATATAGAAAATAAATGGTGTGCTCAATATAAGAATTTTAATTTTTATCAAGAAAGCAAACAGGTAGAATGAAATGGTTACTCTGGGATGTATCTATGATTCTAAAATTAAGTATAGAAATGTCTTATAGGATTTTCTCAGAAGTAATTTAGTCAAATAAGCTACATGGAGTATTTTTTAAAAATCCATCAAGGCATTTGTATTGAAAATATGAATTTCTTTATAGAAACAGTTCCTACTTGATAGGTCAGTTCTTATATTTTGTTCTAGGTAGATCTTTCTCCCTTCAGCAAAGGATTATCAGCAGAAATAATCATTTTATTCGAGTATTCTAGAGATCACTGGAACCATCTTGATATATTTATTATATATATTTATTGATATTCTTTTTTAAAGATTTATTTTTATAATTATGTATACGTGTAGTGGGGAATCTGTGTCTATGAGTACAGGTGCCTTTCGAGGCCAAAAGATGACATCAGAGTCTCGGGAGCTAGACCTACAGGTAGTTGTTAAGCTGCTCCATGTGGCTGCTGGAAACTGAACTTGGCTCTTTTGCTTGACCAGCATGTACTCTTAACTGCTGACCTATCTCTCTGGCCCTGCTGATGTTATCCTGAATGAGCACAGTTATACTGGGCAGGTAGTCATGTGGCAGGAACTCTGGTACTGCTGGTATTTTTTGCACCTTCATGCAATAAGAGAATTTCCTGTACCAAACTACATGATAGCATTTCTTTTTTCTATTGAGTTTAGCCTGTACGTTAAAGAAATCACTCTTATGTTAGCAGAAGCAGTCAATTTATTAACATTTAATATCAAAATGACAATGTTCAGCCTTGTTTACTGTAGAGACAAGAGACTTATATAAAAATTCCTAAGTCAATAAATACTAGCAGAGCAAATTAGGCTATTTGGCTGCAGTTTTAAGACAGCTACGGTGAACTATGTGGATGTGTGTTCTTGGCACTCAATTCTAAATTTTTACCTCTAAGTATATTTGCTTTTTAGAACTCTTCAATGCCTGCTTATTACGCCATGATACTGGGTCCATCAAACCTAATCGATGGGGTTTAGATACTAGATTAAAGCATCATGGAACAGTAAAGGGTATAATGTCTAAGGATGGCCCTGTTGTATGATCTTAAGAACAAAAGTTATATCGAGTCTTGTATTTTGACAAGTAAATTGAGATGAATAAATAAAATACAACTTTTTCCATTAAGTTCAGACTATTTGGCCATAAATGTAGAAGTGGCACGTCATATGGTGTGCTTCTGTATAAAAATAACTTTTAATTTCAAGAATGTATTTTTCTTTTATTGAAGGTAACTAAATGAATGAAATTGTACCAAGAAAATTCCATTCTGTTTCTTTCAATAGTATTAAAAATAAGACTGAATTCGTTAACTCTTGGAGGGGGGATAGGGATTGTCATTCTCTCATCACTAACCACTAGAGAATAACAGTATTTGACTTATTTTGCTTAAATGCTTCAACTTACAGTTCAGAAAACAGATACAAAATGAGTAGAAATCCCAGGCACACACAATAAAATTACAGGTTCAAGGTCTTTTGATAACAAAAGAGCCACAAAAATTCCTGTCAACACTAGTGTTTTAACACGGCAAGATCAGCATTCTGGGCAAGGCAGGATGAGAGCAACCCCTGCCTTGCCACCCTGTTCAGCTGGCCGCCTCTGTCTAGCTAAACTCCAGCAACTAGTCCTCTGATGACTGAAGCAAGCAGCACGCTGAGTAAGCCACAGTTTGGTGGGAGTGGCTTTCTGAGTGGCCTGTCTTTCCCTCTCTGTGTTGTTCACCACCGGGTCATTTTTAGGACTCCATATGCCATGGGAGGAAGGTTACCAGGCTGAAAGTTGAGTGTCTTGAGCGTTCGATTGCTTATCACGTTTTTGCCCTCTAGGTGCCAACCTGGATTCACTGGAGCAAGATGTACTGAGAATGTGCCCATGAAAGTCCAAACCCAAGAAAGTATGTTCAAATAATCTGAAATCTGCTTTCTCCACCAAACCACAGCAACAATCGCAACCTCTTGGTGCTTTTACGGCTCAGTTGTAACTGATTCCTATTGTTCTAATTATGGTGTCTCCGCTCAGGGCATGAACCATGAACCTGTCCACTGTGGTCTCAGTTGCCTGTCATTCACTCAGGTCCCAAAGTTAAAATGTGAAGGAATGACTGGTCAGAGAGGCCATGATTCTGGGAGTCAGCAGTGAACCTACTCCAAATCATTTTCTATCTATTTCTCCAACTAGATGACTAAACCATCAATTCGTCTGGTGACTTCTTTGGAAAGAAAGCAGTCACCTAGAAATCCTGGAATATTACTGCCATAGACGGCTGCAAACTGAATTTTTTTTTGTCCAAATTTTGAAGCACTAGGGAGATGCCAGAGTATAAAAGCCATGATCAGGACAAGGATTCAGTTCCTGAGGGTGAACTCACCAAGATCAGTCAATGACACTCAAGGACCTTCTCTAGCGTATATTCACCTCTTCTCTTTTTCTCTGTTTTTTTTCTACCATTGTTTTTTTGTTTCTTCTCTCAGGTGCCCAAATGAGTTTACTGGTGATCGTTGCCAAAACTACGTAATGGCCAGCTTCTACAGTACGTCCACTCCCTTTCTGTCTCTGCCTGAATAGGAGCATGCTCAGTCGGTGCTGCTTTCTTGTTGCTACATCTCCCCTCAGAGTCACCTAGAGCTAGCGTGTTCTACCAGGTCTAATATTGACTGCCTCTGCCTGTCGCATGAGAACATTAACAAAGCCATTGTGTTGCCTCCTCTGTTTGTGACTAGTCGGCTCTGAGTTGCTAATAGGTGTGTGAGGCTCCGGATATTTCTGAGATAGATCATACATCATGTGGATAGTCCACATGGAGGAGTGAAGTAATAATAAAGACGTTTCAGACTTGCACTTGTATTGATAAAATAAAATCATTGCACCAAGCAGTCCATCTTCTGTATCCAACATCCACGGTCTGCAGAGGCCGTTGTTAGGTTGTAACCACCATACCCTTGAAATGATGGTAAGTTGATTTGGGCTCAGAGTGTGTTGTTCATATCAAATAAACATCACGAAAAGAGTTCAGATGTTTTTCTTCATTAAGCAAAGTTCACATCCAGGCAAAAGGACAAAAAAAAGCAAAACACTACTAGGTAGAAAACCTTAAAAACAAATTCCCAGCCAAGGCAATATCCAGGCTCATAGTTATGTTTCTTGGGAAGTAAGTAATTCAGAATGAGTTTAGATAATCACCATCATCCTAGTGTTTCTTAATCTGAGTATTTATGCTGCTTAAAGGGTGATCTTAGAAAGGAGCTATTACAGTTTTGAATACTATTACTTCAAAATAAAATAACAAATCTAGGAGAAATATAAAAGTGTTTAATGCTGAGCTGGCAAGTTTAGTGGATGTCTGTGAGGTCATGATGTTTTAACATCATTGCTAAACTACTCAGTCTACATTGTAGATAATCTCCTGAGTAACTCAACTAGATGTCTGTCAGGCTCCTCGTGAACTGAGGTGGTATCTCTCGGCCTCTGAAACCTTTAGAACATCACATTGCCTATATCCCACTTAGTCATGTAAATCGTGAATTGGTCAGGTTTTCCTATGAAGCTTCAGATAACAAGTGTTTTAAGGTTTGTGGTAATGGTGTCATGTCATGACGAGGCACCAGTCTCCCACCTCGTAGCTTGAAGACAGTCGTAGCCAATAAACAAACTGATGGGCCAGCCTGTGTTCCATTAAATCTTTACTTACAACTATCAGCACAAGGGCTGCTTTTGTCAACCCTATCAATTAATAATCATCAGGAGTATTTTACATAGTTCACTACAGTTTAAATTCTTAAAACATTGAAAATAATCACACAAGCTGGTCATTTAGGTATCCAAAAAATCAGAGATTTACCCTTGGTTCTGATTCATGAGAAGAATAAATTTCTGTTAATCGTCACAGATATCAGTGCGTAGGGAGCAGAGGCAGGCTGATCTCTCTGAATTAGAGGCCAGCCAGAGCTACACAGTGAAACCATGTCTCAAAAAAAAGAAAAAATTAAAAGTCATAGATGCTATTAGAATAATAGCCATGTTTTTAGTGAAATAAAGTTTAAGTACTTCCTTAGACTGTTATCAAAGATTATGCCATAAGCTATAATTTTCCCTTGTAAAAACTGGCAAGTTGGTATTGTTAAATTTTGAAATATATTCACTCTATTAACAAATATTTAAATAACAGCATTTATCAGACATGAATTTTCTCTCGGTAGCTATAGGTATTTTTTAAGTAGATAGGATAGAAAGTAAAAATAGAAGGGAAAGTAGAATTTTATTTAAATAAGATAAAATCAGTTTTTGAATGGTTTGGTTGTATTGCAAATCGATTTAGCAAGCCCACATGACAGTATAGGGATAAATCTACTTGTTAGAATTTAATGAAAAGAGGTAAGCTATTCTTACATATGTCTTATATATTCTTAGCCACTAGAGATGTGTTGTAGAAGGTTGTCTCCCTAGATAATGGCAAGCATTAAAAATGCAAATATTTCTCAGAACAATAATTCTGTTAACTCTGCCATTGGTAATCACCAAATATGTGCTCGTTCACTTTTTCACCATTTTCTCTTTTATTAGACATTATTTAAATCAGCCACTCTGTCTGAGGTCCAGGATGAGGCTCCTAAAATGAAATTTTTTGTAAGCTTTCAGTGACATTTTGGGAAGGCAAGCAGAAAATTAGCATTCATGTTTAACTTGACTTAACAAGGATTGGTAGGAAGCTCAGTCATGAGGCCAGCGCGTAATGGTTGCGTCATTGATACCACGTGTCTGGAGAAGCAAGCATTTCCAGTCAGACACCACGTTTTCCCCGAATCGTCTTGTCCAGAGTTCATTTTCTAATGTCTGCCTCTGAGCTCTCAGTTTGTATCTTTCCCAGTAGATAGCCAGACAGGGGAGGGAGTTTTGTTACTCCGTGTTCAAGTAACAGTGGATGCTGACAGAGAATCTCGAAGATATTCCCACAGAGGTCACTTGAAAAGGTGATTGTTTGTTTACAGACACACTGTCTTAGAGAACATGACATGATCTTTAAAGAGAAGAATCCTGCCCCAAACAAAGGTTACAGCTTGCCAAACCATATTCTCCGTTGAAGAATAACATTGCCACGAGAATACAATTCTTCAACATGTTTAACACGTAATTTATATTATTAAGATTATTGATTGATCCACAAATGCTGATTTAAATTAGGAAAGAAAGGGGTACAATTTACAGCAGCCATTTTTCTTGAAATATAACATAGAATACTTCCTAAGAGAGTATCATCCACTTTAGCCTTAAATCTGACTTATTACAGTTTAATTCCTAGTTAAGTCCTAGTTGTGATACTGTGATCCCTAGCATGTGGTGGCAAGTGTGTAGGGAGCCCACACAACAATGTGTAGACTTTGAGGAGGAAAGAGAAAATACATTCAGAGCTCCAGTACCTGGAGGTAGCATTGGGCAAGCGTGTCCTGGAGAAGCTGGCAAGCCATAGGAATTAAATATAGAACGGCTCACATTACAGATGATTTTGAAGTGCACATTTAGAACTTGAGGCACATTCTCAAAATGAGTAGACTTCTCAGCCTTAAAAGTACTTTTGAGCCATTGGTTATTAGCATATACATTATTTCATTGATTTCTAAATGTCTTAAGGAGGCTGTTAAGATAATGTATAATCAAACATGTATAACATGTATCTTGCTAACAGTAGACTAAAGAGCACTCCACAGATGACAGAATTGTCATAAGTTTCAAATGAGTGTGAAATTTGTTGTGTGTGTGTGTGTGTGTGTGTGCGTGTGTGCTCTTCTGCACATGAAAACTGGGGAATAGAGCAAAAGTCTATTACATTTCAAAGGGCTCAGTAACAATGCAGATTGTGAAAAACAGCATCTACACTTGTCAAGGTAAGTCTGAAATTAGAGTCAAGACACCAAATTCATCCCATTTAGAAGAGGCATTAGAATATTTTAGACAAACTCCAGAGATACAGAAAATCAAGACTGCATGTCTTTGAGATTACTTGCACATACAAGTCCAAAGATGTTAAAAAATAGCATCCTGAATGCATGAATTCTGAACAGAAACCATAATTGCAATGGCTGTATAATTTTGATGAAAGAAAGTTATTTTACTGTTCTTCTCTCTGATGCAGTTGAAAATTTAAATTAACCTCCAGGTTAATCAGTTTTCGTCAAGTAATTATAAAAGCCTCACACAAAGGATTAGCGAGTCAATATTTAATAGTTTCGGGAGACTTTAGATTTAAATTAATTTTTTATATTGCCATGGTCCTGGCAGGAAGTCACATGTAGAAAAGGAAACTCAATTGTTTACAGTAACCTTCGTGTTTGTGAATTATTAATTGAATTTGAAGAATGTAGTGGCTCGCCAGAAGTTCAGTGGGACCATGTGCCGCACAATGAGCTAGCACCAGTGTTAGATTAAATGGAGCAGATAGAAAGAATTTCTTTACCTAATGGAAAGTTTGTGCATTCTGCTTCTTTTGTTGGCTGTAAAGTGAAAGAGATATAAAGATAAATAAGAGCATCGTTGTTCTGGGTCTAGAATGACTGATGCATGCATCCTCTGCTTGTTTCCTTGTTAGGGCTCGCAGCCAAAAGAGATTCCCATTTTAAGTACCAATTTCCCCTTGAATTATTTAAAATTGGAGCTGCCTGATGTGAATGACTTCCCTTGAAATGAAATTACAGTTAGGCTCACAGGCTTACCTATAAAACTGTAAATGCAGTCATATGTATGCACGGGCATGCTACTAATTTTATTGAAGACTTAACCAAGCTTTCTATGCAACTAATACAAATCGTTAGAAGCGTTCACATAGGAATGGAGGAGTTATTTGGAAAGGATTTTTTATAGATATGTCCTGATTTTTAACCCTTAAGTTATTAGTGACTTATAGGAGGGAAAATAAAAGAGACACAGAAGCTTCTAGGAAGAAAATTGGATCATAGCCTCGTGAAAGGAATGAGGAAGGAAGTTTATTATCAATTTCCTTAGAAACCAATTTTTTTTCACATTGATGTTCCAAAGTTTATATGAAAAAGAAAATGGGAAAAAATGTCAGTCTGACAAATTGCACAGAGGCAAGAGAAATTCATTTGTATTTGAATAGATTATTTCATTATGAATTACTTGTACAATGGAATTAACCCTAAGGCTTCTGGTTCTTAATTTAGGAAAAATCCAGACTACGTGTGGGTGTACACCAGACCCACATCAGAAGTCATTGTAGATCATGCCTCCCATTTCCAAGATATATTTTTGACGTAGGGATCATCATATCTTGAAGTGGCTGCAAAAATCTTCATCTATTTTTTTTTCTGGTAGATCCCAGGAGTAGTCAGTGTTTCCCTGCATAAAATTACTCAGAGTAACCATGAATGTACTGCACTGTTTGTCCCATGATGGATCTCTAGACGTGTCTTTTCCCCAGAATCCTGAGCCCTCTGCTCTTGCAGACCACGATTCGTTCTATAGGCTCACCAGTGAGCATGCGTTACCATGAATTTGTTCAGTGAGCAATAAGCCTGACCAAAGTTACTAAGCAGGTGAGTGGGAGAGACAGGATCAGAACCACGATTGACCCTTCCACTTGCCCTGTGGCTTTAAGGGCTGCTCTCTCCGTGTCCCGACGGATGGTTTTGTAAAAGGCACATCCCTGCAGCTTATACCGCAAGAGAGCTGCTTCATTATATTAGTGGAGTGCCCCCGATTTCTCCCTAACCCACTGAGAGAAGGGACTACAGACGCCTGCTTCTGATCCCTGCCTCCCCCTCACCTTTCACCCAATCACATGGCGCTCACCGAGAGAGAAGGCCTACATGCTTGATGCAACTTGACTGTCAACTTTGTTTGCAAGAAGGCAAAGTATCCTTCCTGGAGATTTTTTTTTCTCTTTGCCTTGTCCTCCTCCCGTCATTGCCCATTTTTGTCTGCTCAGGCTTTGTACAGAGCTGTGGAAATGCGGGGCATCGGCTCACACTTCCCTAGGTGGTGCTGTGCTTCTCTTGGCATCTGTGCCCACCGGAGCTCAGCACTGTGGAGTGCTGACCTAATTACCTCTAAGAGTTTGAAAAAGCAGTAAAGACCCCAGAAACTGAATCTCCATATAACACACCTAGGGAGGAAAAATCTTTTTCTTTTCAACTTGAAAATGGCAAGTTTTCAAATTGCCCAATCAATCCTACAGAGAAATTATATGAAAAACTTAAAACAGTCACCAATAACCTGGCTTCCCTTGGTCATGTTTCTGGGTAGAAGCTTTAGTTGCTTCCCTAGAATGAAATGGCTGGTGTATGTAGTGGAGGAACTGGAAAGTTAAGTGTCGGAGGTACAACTTTAAAAAGTAATTCTGAAGTATTGCTACCCACCAGCAAGGAAAAGCAAATCCAGTGTGATACAAATTTCAAACCAAATTACTGTCATCTTGACACGTACCCCTGTCTCGGCCACTGGATGCATTTAGTTCAACAAAACAAAATCAAAAAACTCCTTAGAACATCTTCTACAAACAAATCAACTTTTTGCAAATGCTTTTGCTGGTTATAAAATACGCCTGTTCTCGAATGACGAGTCAAGCATGGTTTAGCCCCTAACCTCCCTCGGTAGAAGCTTTGGAAGGTTACTAAAGACCCTGTACTCTCCCCGCTCGCCGGCGGGGTCGCGCGTGCCTGAGCATGCTTCCGTAACACTCACCGCCTGCCCTGTTCAGTGTGCACGCACAGAGCTGTCGTAGTCATGTTTAATTTGTTTTGGAGTGCGGTGTATTGCTCTTTTCTGAAACTTTTCTCCTTTCTTTTTTCTTTTTATTTTTTTCAACTTTCTGCATTGGCAGAGCATCTTGGGATTGAATTTATGGGTATGGACCAATCATCATTCCTTTTAGCCTGCAGAATGTAGAGCTTCTGAGCTGAACTCTTTTGCCCTTCCTCTTCTTGCTTTTCAGTTCCTAACTAATTTCCTTTTTCTTTAGAAGGGATCATACAGCTATAACACTGGTTTTTCTGCTTTCCATCTACGATTAGTTTATGGAAATGTTATTGGGGTGCAGCAGGATTTAAATTTCCAAGCCTCCCTTTACTTAGACTAGAGGTCCCTCCTGCTGCACCTTATCGTAGACCCCACATTGTGTGACCCATTGATTGGACCATGCTGGTACTTAAAAGCTGGGGTAAGTTGGAGTGGTGCATAGGCTACAGGAGAAATCAAACCAAAGGTCAGAGGAGAAAAAATTAAGTACATCCACGTAAAAGATAGCCCGATGGGGGTTTACATATAACATAAAATTCTTCTATTCAATATCATAGAATTTAAGTGTCTTACACTGAGGTAGTATTCTATGCACTGAAGCACTCAGATTTCTTGGAGATACTCAAGGACGACTCTAGTCAACTTCATTTGCTTAAATAGAAAACAAAGGATGTTCATCTAGGTGAACATTCCAGGGCTGATAGAATTAAATTGGAAACACTAAGATTAAGATTACTGAGAGGAGTCATCACGTAGAAAAGCTTACCTGTAAATATCAGAACAACAAAGCTCCCAAAGGCAGATGAAATGTAGGCATAGTCCATAAGACCCATCATCCAAAAAAAAAAAAAAAAATTGGGCAAAGGGTCCAGTCTCTTTGTGAGAGCAGTCTGAAAGAACCCAACTGGGTCTTGGGTCGAAAGCATCATAAGATGAGCAAACTGTCCACTCCATTTGCAGCTCACCCTTGGTGCAGCAAGAGCATCCCAAGGCTGTAATCTCCTTTTGGCTGAGAACATCATCTACTCAGAAACATCACTGGTGATGCATGAAGCAGTAGCCAGTCCTGGCAGGGACAGGGAGAGGAGCTTAATTGTCATTCCTTCGAGAAAATAAAAAGAAGATAGCTAGTCATCTTGTAGGTTGAAAAAAAAAAGGCCAAATTCAAATGAATGGGCTTTTTTGGCTTTAAAAAGAAAAACAAAAACCTCCTAAGTTTTGGAATCACAAAGAGGATCTACACATCACTCTTGAGGGTTCTGCCTTCCTCAAAGGAAGACTCCCTGTGCCAGAAATCTCATAGCACTATGGGAAACTAATGACCAAACCCTCAGAATTACCTTTTTCTACTATTTCTATTTCTAGATAGTGGAGTCAGATAGTTACGCTGTGTAAGTGCTCCCTCAGCTGTTTTCCTGGTTCAAAGGGGCAGCATGCTGCCATGCACACCTCTCAAAGGCTTTGTAGAGGGGAGACCAGTCATTATATCCAGAAACAACACCTGACCTTAAGGGTCATTGCAAAACAAGAGAGCAAGAGCAAGTGACTCTGTCTTTTCTCCTGGATGCAGCAGAATGAAAATGTCTCCCTGTGAGTCACTGCAGTCCAGTCCATACAGCCACACCAGAGAGATTTGGAGCACATCCACTCATGGAGACAGACCAGACCTTTGGACTGATTTTTAGTACTAGCTCTGATTTGCTCTTGCCTTGTGGATACTGTCAAGCAAAAAATTAAAATTAAAAAAAAAAACATGAGAAGAGCAATAGGTTAAGGGAACATGCTGTTTGTCAAAGACTAGTTTTTTTTAACATTCATATTGTAGAGATAATCTGATGTGACAAAAATCATGAAAAAAAATCAAAAAGTTTAGGTGAGAAATTTTTCTTGTAGTCGGTACTAATGTGAGCACAGGACTTAATCCTGCTTGTGTTCCCTGCCTTTAGTTAACTTCCTTTAGCCCCATTGTCCTTTACTGAACACTTTAGTCCCTGAAATAATTGTTTTACTGACGAGCCATAAGAATAGGCCAATGGCCAGATGCTAGCCGGTCACATACCCAACTCAGTCTGTTCTTTCCTAGTCAACAACAACTGAAAGAGAACTTGTTGTAGGGATCCCCGAGAGTTTTGGGGGACAACCCATGATACCCCCAATGCTCATTTTAGTCTTTCTGTATGTTCCGATATTTTTGAAGTTTGCAGAAACCATTTCCTAGCTGTTTCAAAGTATAGGGAGTCATTGAAAAGCAGCAACCAAAGGCTTGGTTTTTACCCTTCCTTCTCCCCTCATCCATTTGTGAAACCAAACCCAGGATCTCCCATATTCCAGGCAAGTGTCCTACCTCTGTACCCTTGCCAAAGCTCACCAGCTTTAAAAAAAAAAAAAAAGTACATTAGACAAAACATGGGATGTAGGGCTTGCCATTTCTTGATGCCAACATTAGTGCTCCATTTCCTAACAAGCTTATGCTGTGTGAAGGAAGAACAATGAAATGAGATTATGCTTCTTAGACAGACACTCTAAAAACTGTGGATGCCAGGGAGGGAAACTACAGAGAACACCTCATAAAAGCCAATCCCCTGCCTTTGTCTGGGGGTAACAGGGGGAGTTAACACATAAGCCCTCCCGTCATGTCATTGTTAGACCCCTACAGTGCACACACCAACACTTTAGTGTCACGACACCACCTGTATGTCTCCTGCATACTTTGGCACCGCAATGCACCAACTGCTTCGCTTTTTAATCATGGCTTCCATGTCACGGCCAGCCCAGTTTAGGAGTTATGCTGTATGGGACACCCCTTCCCACTCTGTACCCACCTTTTCCTCCCCCTCCCCCTAAGCATCTCCTCTGTCTGGTTTTCATTTCTTTATTTATTTTTTCTCCCTTAATATCAGGCATGCTGTGCCAGGGTCTCCAGATGGCTCCCTAACTTTTAACCTTGTTTTTCCCTTATACTGGACTTTCTTGCTCTTTGTCATTCTTTCAGTCTGTCTGTCCTCTTGATTTGTTTTTCCTCTCCACCTCCAACCCTTTCTGTTTGTTTTTGTATAATCTCTTCAGTATTGTCGTCTTTTACTCACTGACTTCTGTTCTCCTCTTAATAATCAGAACTCTTATTAATTTGATTTGACAATGTTCTTGACCTGTTAACTGGGACTTGATTATCATGGACTCGGCTTGTAGGAAACATTTTCTTTTATGATAAGATCCACTAATTGGATAGAAATTTAAATTCACTTATTTATTTTTAAAGAAAACTTCCTGTGGCCTGCCCTTTCTCGATGCAGAGAAAGGTATAGCTTCTGAGACTGAAAAAAAAAAAACTATGATGGAAATAATCTTTGTGCCTTTCTTGTTGGTACCCAGATAAGACCATTCTATTTGTGCCATGTTCTCCAGTTCTGGCCCAGCTTATTAATTTTAATGGCAGACAAACCATTTATAATGCATGCTGGGTGAATGTGTCAAGATCTTCCAATAAAAATAATTAGATTATTGAAAGCTTGGCTGTTAAGCAGCCAGTATCTCCAGTAAGTCTACAAATTTTGTTAACACCCTGACTCACCTTTGTACAAAACCAAGTCATCCTACAAAGGCCCTGATTTTCACCTAGAAAAGTTTCAGCCAATTACAGACTGACTGCATCTGGAGTAGAATGGTACCTTGAGTTCAGATCTCTTGAGAGCACCACCGTTTCCTTAGAATTGTCTAATGTGGAGATGTGCAATCTAGTCCAAAGTACATATCATTTGTGTTAATGATGGACTTCTGAATCCAAATTGAGTTTCTAACTTCAGCTAAGACATTTATAACCATTTTCCTCCAGAGAGCAAACTTTTTCTGTGGCCCAAGAGTGCCCTACCCATCAGGTTGGGCTTTATCTGGCCCGAGTCCTGATCCCCCACGGTGTACTGTTTCTTCTGCTTCATTTACTCTACATCGTGGCACTGTTGCCTTAACTTACTAACTACAAGCCAAGTTCATGTTTGCAAATACCTTGGAATTAAATTTTGTTCGCTGTGGAAATGTCTCTCTGTAAAGACCACTGGATGTGAAATGATGACCTAAAACATGAGGGAAGTGGAAAGAGAATTGGCATGGAGGGTGGTCAATAGAGGAAGGAAAAATGGACCATCTCCCTGATGCCCGTCTTAGCTCTCTTTATCAATATTGATTCCTGTTGTCTTTGCAAGAGATGTTTTGTAAGATAGTTAATAAAAATAATAACATTGATAAAGGTTTAATAAATTCTTTTGTAATTAATGTCTATGATTTTCCAGTTTAATATCATATATATATAATTATAGCTTGAAATTAGACAAATCATAAAACATAACATTTTTACTTTCAATGGCCCTAGCTAGCTTATTATTTATGCTCAGAGTACAGCATAGAATACGTTGTCCCTTAGACATGTATGTAAACCTAAAGAATTGTCAATGTTCATTGTCTGGGGGACATGGATAATGTAGTTAAGCATGCCAACTGTTCAGTTGTCATAAATCCTGGCAATGGCAAATGACCTTGGTGACATGTGCTCTCACCCCTTTCCAGAAGCGGAGGAACTCTACCAGAAGAGAGTGTTGACAATCACCGGCATCTGTATCGCCCTGCTGGTGGTCGGCATCATGTGTGTGGTGGCCTACTGCAAAACCAAGTAAACCTTCCCCTCGGCTCATCCACTCCCCTTGGTGCAGAAGTAGGTTAGGCAGGCAGGGGCTCTGCAGTCCCAGAGCCCATGCTCAAGGCTTGGGGAGCAAAGGAGCACAGGGACTTAACATCCTTATGCTCCCCACCCATGCACCTTTGCCTGTTTGTGTGCAACTAAGCAAATTTCTCAGTGGTCAGGGCTCTGTGAATGGACAAAGGCTTAGAGGAACAGGCTTATGCGTCAGAGTTCCACACAGGCACAACCTACTGAGAGCATTAATGCCCAAGATTGAGGATAAGTCCAGAAACTTAAGAAATAAAGAGAGCATTTCATAGTATTCAAGATACAGGTGTTTGGGAGGTTTTCGTTGTTAGTTTCTTTTGGGGGGCGGGCGGTGTTGAGAGTTAAAATGAGTATGTTTTAATTCTATGATTTTCCAACATAAATGCTCTATAAACGGGCCGTGTATAAAGAAGTTTTTGTGGAAGGCTAAGCCAAATTTGCTTGGAAAGAAAGTTAAAGAGAAAACCTTAACGATAATGGAGTCACTATGCCAGGCCTTCTACAGGTGTCCCTGTTAGCATGCGTTGGCCTACCAGTGAGATCCCTGAACTTTTCTCTCCACTGAGGATTTTTTCAAGTCCAAATGTAATACTCAGAGTGTGGCTTCTGTTTTGCCTGATGACATAATATTTTCTGGCCCAAACTAGTCATAGTAATGTCTTGTTCCGAATGTTGTATTACAGAACAGTGGTCACATGCATTTTAGCCACAGAAGCTATAGCATGAATTGTGTTTACACAGTATTCTATGGTTAGAATGCTGTGAGAACTGACTGATAAATATAAGCTCTTATGGAATTGGCATCATAGGTATTATTAGATTCAAATTTGAATGTTTACCACCTCTTCTACAAGAAGCATTGCAAGTGCTTTTAAAGTCTTTTTACAAATGCTCCAAAATATGATGCCAAAATATACCCAGAATTCCACTTACATGTGGGTGATATGTGCTCACACACTCACTGTGTAAGATGTACAAATAAAAAAGAAGGATAAGTTAATTTTCTTAGTAAATCAAATAGGAAAATTTATGAATGAAACCAGTCTTATCAGTTCCATAGTTAAAAATATGTAAGACCAATATATAATGTAAATAAAGATGCACCAAGAACATTGAGAATTTAGCCAAATATCAACACTTCTGTTTTTCCTCCTTTTTTATTCTCCCTCAGTACAAGAGCTATGTATAACATTTCTATGAGAAGTCCATCTCACTATTAAAACCAGCTCTCTAAGGATGTGAGATATTCTTCATTCTGAGACAGAGTGATGTATAATTTTCTACCCCCTTTATCACCACCAACTGACTGCCTCAAACTGCTCATTAGTGTTAGTAGACTAAAGATTTGGCTGTAGTGAAACAAACAGAAATACAATGTAATAGGAACGAACGTGCTCCTTTTTTTTTCATATCCAGGAAACAGCGGCAAAAGCTTCATGATCGGCTTCGGCAGAGCCTTCGGTCTGAACGGAACAACATGGTGAACATAGCCAACGGGCCTCACCATCCGAACCCACCACCAGAGAACGTGCAGCTGGTGAATGTATGTTGACCGAGCACTGGGGAAGCCAAGCATTCATTTGCCATTCAGGCACACTGAAGTTGGTTTTTGTAATCTTAGGCCATTATCTGCTTGCTGTCACTTATCACAATGACTTCCAGAAACCCGCAGTTTTGCCAGGAAAAAAAATAATGAAAGCTATTTGAAAATGGATTTAGTTATTATATTAGCACATTTTCCTTTTATATGGTGTCATTAAGACTTCGGGGTAATACTTGGTGTGTTCTGAAAAGAGGCCGTAGAAAGAAGGAAAAACAAAATAAATAATAAAACCAGGGTCATAAAGAATATTTATTTTTTAATCATTTAGAAATGAAGGCTACTCTATTATACCACTGGTTTATAGCAAACCAAGCAAAGGGCTTTGAAGTATTTCTAAAAGGTGCCTTTCATGGTACATGTGATTTTCTGATTCCAATTTCCAAAGGAAGATTGGGGTATGAAAAGGGGGGAAATTTCCTAAGTATTCTTTAAGGAGCAAAGCTAGGAGAAGGTTACTTCCTTATTCCCTGGCTCCATCTGTGTGATGTCATACCCTCCCGGTGAAATTCATCCTAATCATTTGGGTATTGTGGTTTCATTGTGCCATGTACTTAGTTCTAAATGTGACTGGATTCTAGGCTGGTCCTTGAGACCATTTGCATATCCCCATTGAGGTCTTCCACATTAAGAGATCTGGACCGGAGTTCTTGCCAGATGTCCTGAATTCTGAAGCATTGTTATTCATGTTCCAACCCTCATTCCTCCCCTGGAATGTGTAGTTTCCCATTCTCCCCCTGGAATGTGTAGTCCCCCATTCTCCCCTGAAATGTGTAATCTCCATTCCTCTCCTGGAATGTGTAGTCCCCCATTCCTTCCCTGGAAAGTGTAGTTCCCCATTCTCCCCCTGGAAGTTGTAGTCCCCCATTCCTTCCCTGGAATCTGTAGTCCCCCATTCCTCCCTTGGAATGAGTGGTTTTCTTAATAGACAAAGCTTGAAATTTGTAATATCGCTTTCTGTCCTATTAGAGAAGGTATATCTTAGGTGGAGAAGATGGGTCATAGACTTAAGTCTGGAGCTGGGGGTTACTACAAGCTGGTGGTTACTTCCCCCAAGTCTCATAATTCAGACTTTGGGGAAAATATTGGAACCAAGGGCCAATAGGAAACTTTTGTTTCCCTCCCAATGATGGGGTTCATTAGAATGCTCTTCAAGGTCAAAAAATGCACTCACTAACAGTAAAACTGTAATATTTAATATATATAATGTAATATATATATATAATTTGACATAGATTGATATATAACATAATATATAACAGCAACAGGACCGTGACTGTTTGGATTGCAATTATAGCACAAATAACCCCATTTCAACCTTATTTCTTCATTATAGCAGGGCTAAAAATAATACCAACTTTACTAAAATAATCTGCCTGAAACACTTAACCCAGCACACTTAGTGAGTACTTAGTAATTGCTAGATAGTGTCTTCATTAGAGCCACTGGGTGGAAGGTGCCCCCAGAGGGCAAGAGTAGAATGGGCACTAACATGGTAGCAGCTTATGGTGTAGTCTTCATGATAAGCAGTTGTCCCTAGGAAAATTGTCCCCAGGAAGTTCCGGAAGGAAAAGTGTTTCTATAAACAGAAAGAGCCAGCCTGTAAAATCCCCCATGTGAATATCAGGTTCTTCAGACTACACAATCTCAGCAGACTCTAAAGTACCCCTTTTATTAAATACCTCTTTCTGGTCCTTTTCTTGTGGTTTACTTGATTTCATTCAGAGTTTTAGAAATACAGAGAGCACTTACAACAACTTACAAGAAACTTTTCCAACATTGCATGTCACTGTTAGCTGGCAGTAACAGCTACTGTGCTCTGCTGATGAAAATAAAAGAGATTCACCAGAGATATAGCACTGGGCATGCAATTTGTTCAGACCTTAAAAATATTATAAGTCTCTCAAATATCGCTCAGCAAGTTAACATCTTCAGTGATATCAGTAGGGCTAGCATAGGCCTATGAAATTCAAAGAGGAAGATCTAAAATATTAAAATTCACATCTTTTTCTAGTGGCATGAATTGAAATAAGTCAGACTATATTACATTTTTGTTTCCCTCATATATCAGTCTTCCTGACCTGGATAAATGTGGACAAAAATAATACTTGAGCGAATATTTGTGATATTTCTGTTATCAGTTGGAAATGAGAGAAATGAAGTTGAGATTTCTTGTGCAAACATTTGGAAAGGAATTTATTGACCCCATGTATCTAACCTCAAAGCCAGAGAGGCCAGAAAAGGATTTGCCATCTGGCTGGCTGAGATCTATGTGACATATACACATGAGAACCGATTTGTACCTGGATTAGTGCATGAATTTTCAAGTTGTGTCTCTTTGTTTTTCTAGCAATACGTGTCTAAAAACGTCATCTCCAGTGAGCATATTGTTGAGAGAGAAGCCGAGACATCCTTTTCCACCAGCCATTACACTTCCACAGCTCATCACTCCACGACTGTCACCCAGACTCCTAGTCACAGGTATGAGGGGGCAAAAAAAAAAAAATCTCAGAGGGAAGAAATTTTCCTAAGAATGGTTTCTTTTGTTTCTTACCCTTTATTTTCAATTCCTAAGAAAAGGCAAAAGAGACAGAAGCAGGAAAATGTACTGAGTTTGAGCATTCATAGATTTGGGGCCTAAACTGCTCTTACCAAGTTAAGTCTAGGCCTAATATTTCCATTAAAAACAATAAATGGGCTTAGTAATTATTACCTTGCAGGCTTGCTGCTCCTCAGTCTAGAAATTGCCATGTCTTGTACTCTGCTATTGCTGCCCAGTATGGGGGAAAAAGTTGTCTAGATTCTGTGCGATACTTAGAGGTTTGTTTCTAAAGCTTAGACTGCCCTGGCAGTGCCCCGGAAATGCCTACATAGCTGACAGCTCAGTTTTCTGATGCTCCTGTGGTCTTGCGCTGGCGGCACCCACTCTATGGGGCACAGCACCAGGATTCCAGCTGTTAAGCACATAATAATCCCTTTGTTTAGCCCAAGCCACCCAAGCACAGTGAAACTGCAATAATACTTAGTACATGGTGGCATTTGCTAAATATTTATGGGATGGATAAAGAAATGAATACACTGTGTTTACAAGTCCAACCCAAATCAAGGTTCTCTTTACAACAAAGAAATCTTGGTAACAATTCTGGGCTACTGGTGTATCCATATTTACCAGAATCACTTTTCTTCTTTGCCTTTTTTTTTTTTTTTTGCATGTAATTAAACCAGTCTGTCTCACTGCCTCTTACGTTTCCCTTCTACCCAGCTGGAGTAACGGGCACACAGAAAGCATCATTTCAGAAAGCCACTCTGTAATCATGATGTCATCAATAGAAAACAGTAGGCACAGCAGCCCAGCTGGGGGCCCACGAGGACGTCTTCATGGTCTGGGAGGCCCTCGCGAATGTAACAGCTTCCTCAGGCATGCCAGAGAAACCCCTGACTCGTACCGAGACTCTCCTCATAGCGAAAGGTAAAACCGAAGGGCAAAGCTGTCGTGGAGGAGAACCTCATTCAGTAGGAGAATCCCATGAGTACCTGCGGTCTCACCTAAAGAAATTCATCCTCATAGAAGGGGTGTCATCAGTTTCCCTGATGCTTCTAGTTGGTGAAGTCATCCTTTTATTTGGCTGAGCTCCTTTCTCCTGAGCTTCTCCCATCATCCCAAATGGCTGAAAGGCAGCAGACTCTTAAAGAGTGAGAGTAGTGGGGTGTGGACCGTACAGTCAACATGGAGTTCTCAGACCTGACCCTAGGCTCAGACTCACTCAGGGTCGTACTTTCTTCAGGTGTAACATTTAAGTACCCCCATCTAATTCCAATTGTCCTATTGTCTATATTCTACCGCCTTGGCTGATCTGGCCTTATGTTCTCATACACTAATTGCCCTACCTCTGGCCTCAGTTAGATCAAGTCAAGGGCTATAGTCTTTGCTAATGGTCATGGGGGACACCACCTTGTGTGTACACCATATCGTGTCCCGTTCATGAAATTCCAAGAAGTTATGGGATGAATAAATGTCTTGTGTGATTAGCCTGACAGCTATTATAGGTGATTTCCAAAGCACATATCACCTCTGATGTTACTCTTCATTCCAGAATGTTTGCCTTTCCTTGGGTGGGAGATGTAGTTTGGGTTGGAGAAGTAACAACAAAGGCAAACTAAAGAATGGAAAAAAAATAAACAGAGGAGGTACTAAGTAGGGATGTTGAACTTGGATGTTCACCTTATCCATTTTCACCTATGCGAGAAGAAAGTCATGGCTAACTGACATTTTAGCCCATCTGCAAGCTGTTACTTGCGGATTTTCCAGTCTAATTGGTTTATTTTCTTGTTATCACAGTCTGGTCTTTTCCCATTGACTAAAAGGTCATTATAATGCCAAATACATTTGTATTTTTCAATGACATGGGTAGAGATGGTTTCAAAGAATTTTTCATTTTAAGGACCTGAAAGTACAGTGAACCACCCATTGGGAACTTTCAGGTCAAAGAACCTATTAACTACCTAAAGCAGTATCAGAAATGATATAATTTATAGAGTTAGTATTCTCTGTATAACACATCTGTAGAAGAGTGTGGTCAAAACCTGGCTTAGAGCATTTATCTTCTGTAATTATATTTTTGCATATTGAAGTCTCTCCATTCCTGTTAAGCCTTCTTGGAACACGCACAGGGAGTAGGGTGAAGGTTCTCTTCATTGCCCTGGCTTATCTTTGGAGGTTCTGTCTGCTAAAGTAGGCATCCGTGCATCACCCAGATACTACCTAGAATTGTGGAACTGTCTAGAAGTAAAAGATCATGGGAGACAAAAAGATGAGTCACTTGTATGTGTTGTCTGAGCTGCGACAAGCATTTCTCGGAGGGTCTAATTTAAGTACCCTCAAAAAAATTTCTGCACACTTGGGCTCCAAATGTTTCAAATTCTGAGACACTTTTTCTAGTTTTAAATACAGCTGGGTCTCACTTATTTATCGCCATGAGTCATGGACAAGTGGGAGCGTTAATAGTCTTCTTTTCCATTAGCTGGAGTTCAGAGAGCTCCAGTCTCCTGTGTCATCACAGGTCACATCAAATTAGACTGTGTTGTTGTGTGCTAGTAGCATCATCATCAAAAGCCGAGGAAAATGACTCAGACACAGCCCAAAAGGGCAGGCCTTGGGATGGCACAGCGCTTCAAAACAGGAGCACAGTATCTGGACTGAAATGGTGACCTTCACAAACATGGCATAAGATACCATGGTATACCCAACCCTTGTGTTTACACAAATGCTTGCTAGGCACTTCGGAGTTTCTTTGACAAGTGTTCTCAGAAGGAAACCAAAGGCTGATGCAATGGTGGGATTTGGAAGAGCAATAGATGGGAGATTGGCCACTGTGGGAATATGAAACCAAATTATGGTTCCCGATCAGCCTTGCCTTGAATGTATTGCACCCTGAAACGGAGAGTTGCAAATTTGAATGTGAACTAGTAACATTTCATGAAAATTTCAACTGAATGGCACACAAATGTACTACGCTGTTATCAGGAATAAATCTTTAAGTTACTATGCTCTTTTTTTTTCATAAGACATAACCTTATAGCTGAGCTAAGGAGAAACAAGGCTTACAGATCCAAATGCATGCAGATCCAGCTGTCAGCAACTCATCTTAGATCCTCTTCCATTCCCCATTTGGGCTTCATTCTCTAAGACCCCTTGGCCTTTAGGAAGGTATAGTATTTAAGAATACTTCTTTCCCTTCTAAGTCCCCCAAGCCTTGGTCTTTTGAAGCTGAGAGGTTCTTGGGAGCCTTCTTTTCTTGGCTCACGTACCTTTATTTGAATTCATGATGAGACTAAACTCTCAAAGCTTTAATGAGCTGATCTTTGCATGATTCCTGTAAGGAAACTCTTGGCTGTATAATGATAGGATCCAAGGGTGCCGAACTTCTAGTGTAAAACTTAAAGTATTCGATGATGACTGTTCTCTGACTATAACCCATGATGAACTCTGTCCCCCGCCCCTCCCTGCTCTATGCGTCTTCTTTCCACTACGCTCACGTGGGGTATTCTGTGCTCACACAGGTATGTATCAGCCATGACCACCCCGGCTCGTATGTCACCTGTAGATTTCCACACGCCAAGCTCCCCTAAATCACCCCCTTCGGAAATGTCTCCACCCGTGTCCAGCATGACGGTGTCCATGCCCTCCATGGCAGTCAGCCCCTTTGTGGAAGAAGAGAGACCCCTGCTTCTCGTGACACCGCCAAGGCTCCGGGAGAAGAAGTGTGATCGTCACCCCCAGCAACTCAACTCCTTTCATCACAACCCTGCCCATCAGAGTACCAGTCTCCCCCCTAGCCCACTGAGGATAGTGGAGGATGAGGAATACGAGACGACCCAGGAGTATGAGCCAGTTCAAGAGCCTGTTAAGAAACTCACCAACAGCCGGCGGGCCAAAAGAACCAAGCCCAATGGCCACATTGCCAATCGGTTGGAAATGGACAACAACACAAGTTCTGTGAGCAGTAACTCAGAAAGTGAAACAGAAGATGAAAGAATAGGTGAAGATACACCATTCCTGGGCATACAGAACCCCCTGGCAGCCAGTCTTGAGGCGGCCCCTGCCTTCCGTCTGGCTGATAGCAGGACTAACCCAGCAGGCCGCTTCTCCACGCAGGAAGAATTACAGGCCAGGCTGTCTAGTGTAATCGCTAACCAAGACCCTATCGCTGTATAAACCTAAATAAACACATAGATTCACCTGTAAAACTTTATTTTATATAATAAAGTATTTCACCTTAAATTAAACAATTTATTTTATTTTAGCAGTTCTGCAAATAGAAAACAGGAAAAAAAACTTTTATAAATTAAATATATGTATGGAAAAATGTGTTATGTGCCATATGTAGCAATTTTTTACAGTATTTCAAAAAAACGAGAAAGATATCAATGGTGCCTTTATGTTATGTTATGTCGAGAGCAAGTTTTATACAGTTACGGTGGTTGCTTTTTCACAGTATTTCAGCCAAACCTCCCATATATTCAGTTGCTGCTGGCTTCTTGTGCATAGCATTATGATGTTGACTGGATGTATGATTTGCAAGGCTAGCAGCTGTCCCTCTGTTTGCTTCCAGTAGCTCCCAACCGGTACTGTCTTGAAATGGCACATCCGCCCAAATACTCTTCTATTTTGTATGAAGTCTTTGCTTTCCGAATATGAAATGAGTTCTCTCTACTCTGTCAGCCAAAGGTTTGCTTCACTGGGCTCTGAGATAATAGTAGACCCAACAGCATGCTACTATTACATATAGCAGGAAACTGCATTAAGTAATGTTAAATATTAGGAAGAAAGTAATACTGTGATTTTTAAAAACAAACTATATTATTAATCAGAAGACAGCTTGTTCTTGCTCAAAGGAACTACCATTGACTTTAATTTTAACGTTTTGGTTGTTGTTGTTCTTGACAAAGAAGAACAGCTTCAAGTCCAGCTTAGAAAGCGGGTTCTGGCTTGCTATCAGGATAAATCTAGCAACTTAAAAGGACTCAGTTTCACTTTCTCTCTGGGTGGAGGGGGAATGATCCAGCAGCTCATCTGTTGACCAACCAACCATGGCTGCTAAAGGTGCAATCCTTTCTGACATATTTTTTTTAACTGACTGGTTGAACCCTCTTCTTGGCTCCAGAAGGGGCACATCATATCATGAAGCCTCAGCCCCAAGAGTACACTCAGCCATCCTGTCCAAACCACTTGTAGAGTGCAATGTGCCAGCGGTACATCTCGGTGACTTGGCCCATTGCAGGGAAATGCCCCACTTGTAGAGTGTTTAGAAGGAGTGAATGTGTAGAAGTCACAAGGGGAAAGCCGCTGTGTGACCCAGTTGACATCTTAAAGTTTGGTTGGCCACTCCTTTCTCCCCATCATGTGTCTCTCATGTTCAACATGGTCTTGATTGAGTCATAACTATGCATGAATATGTTTTGCCAGGAATAGCCGATGTGCATGTGATTTGTGATTAGCAAGAACTTTCCACAGTGATGCCTCACTAGGGAATGTCAATAGTGTTGGAAAGATTGCACCTTTTCTTGGAGAAGTGATCCCCACTTGTGGATTGATGATCTCTCTCCATAGATAGCCTGTATCTCCCATTTGTCCTCTATAAGTTTTTTTTTTCTCATACTGTCTCAAAACAGGGCTCGGATTGGTTTTAACTCATTATGTTCTCTTATGATTGTAAAGCCAATGAATGCTTAGAGATATTGGCATATGAACAAATGTTAATAAAGGAAAAAAGGTGGGGAGGTGGAGAATAATCAATCATTCAGAACCTTTTATATTACCTCCCTATTATCTGTCAGTCTGAACTGGTGCTCATTGGGTTTCTAAGTAAGTTTCTAGGAGCCACATATGGGAAATAGTTGAACAGGGGATTGACAAAGTCAAAGACAATTATTGATCCTAGTTCCCAGTTGAACTGAATCTATTTTCTTTACCAGATCTTTGTTACAAGTCAAGGGAACTAATCATACACAAGTAGGGCTCAGAAGAACACTGCAGGCTGACCACAAGTCCATGTATTACACTCCTCCATGTTTTGAAGAGAAACTTGTCTGTTACTCTTAGAATTTGATGTCTCTCATTTCCTGCCATTGTTCGCATGACAGCTTCTCTGTGCTCAGTGTTGTCCTTTTCCTTTGTTAGCCCAGACAGAGGAATGCCTGCTGGGAAAAGCCTGCACTGACTTCCCAGTGCTGCAGATGGTCAACTCTCCATAGGGAGGACAAGTCAGCAGGCTTGAAGATAGTCTCTCTACTTAACATTGACGTTGAAGGCCTTCACTCATTGATCATTTGATAAAGAAATTTCTTTATTGTTCTTTTAAAAGTCTTAGAAATTCAGTTCCCAATTGGTTGGTCACTAGGGTATTGAGAAAGGCCCTTCTAAAAAGATAGACTCTCCCGATGAAAACAAGGAACAGCGTTTTACTAGCACAAGAAGCTCTACAAATTTGCAAATTGCAAGTATACGTGATTTTTTTTTTCTTCTGTGCTTTACCTGGCAAACACATTTGTCTTATTAGTTGGAAAGCCTTTTCCCCAAGAGAGCAAAGCTTCTTTGATTAGAGCAGCCACTTGGCCGCTCAGGGCTACCTATGGCAGCCCCTTGCTTTTATGTTTCTAGGGATGTCTCTACAATGCTTCACTGCCAGGTCTCTCTCAACCATCCTGTTTATGAACCCAGGCAGAACCGTAGCAATGCAAAGGAATGCATGCCTGTGTTCCTAGTATGCGTGAAGATGCCTTGCATTTTAAGGGAGTTCAAACTACTCAGAATTTAACAGAAAATTTATTTCTTGGGCCTGAACTCCAAACCACTGAGAGGTATATAGCAGGGTATAGTAGACACCAAATTCCTTTTGTACTTACTCAAGATTTGTTTTCTGTCCTGCTTTTTGCTCCTTTTCTCCCCCTGCCCTCAAGAGTGCCTAGTGGACAGCCTTCTGCAGCTTTCTACAAAGCAGGCCTCTGTTTAAGAGAGAATGTATCCAGAGCAGCAATATGCCATCTCTTTCTTGTTTCTGTGTGACTGTCCATATAGATGGAGTCTATCCAGGGTAACTTTCTCTGTATCGATTCCTCTTCTGGCTGGAGATTGAAGGTAGATGGCTCCTATCAGTGAATAAGGAAGATCTGACCTTCCCTTTCAGTCCTGGCTGCCTTCCAGCAGCTACAGGAATTTCTGTCCACTAAGATCCATGACACACTATGGAGAAATGCAGACAACATGAAATGGCCACAAATCACAATTTCTATTATATATTCTTTTGTAAATACATATTGTATAGTACTTGGATGTTTTCTTAAGTCATATACTGTCTCTATGAGTTAATGTTAGGTTTTACTCTCATACTGTATAACATTGTAAATAACATAATGTCCTTTATTATTTATATTTAAGCATCTAACATAGAGAATTGTTTTCATATAAGTTTAAGATAAATGTTTAAAATATATGTTTTTTCTTTGCTTTAAAATTATGTACTTTTTCTTTTTCATTTTTAAAGAATAATTTATTGTTCAGGAGAAAGAATATATATGTAACTGAAACTATTTGAAGAACGCACATTTGAAGGCCATGAGGTACTGATAAACTAAAGAATTTATTATCTCAAATACTAAGCAATAAGTAATTGTGATTTATTTAAAGTTTTGTTCACTTCCCAAGAAAGTCATACTGCAATAAAAATGCTACTCTATGGAGACATGAGCGTGTTGCTCAGCAGAAAAACATTGCAGTCTGTTAGAGCAGACTTAGCATCTAGCCATGACAGCTGTGCTACCTAGGACTGTGCTTCGTGGACCCCATGACCATCCTGTCTCTGTTGATTTTGCTGCATTGCCCGTCCTTGAGTCACCTGCCTCCCAACTCTGTTTCACACTTCATTCCTTGCTGTAGGAGACACATAGTCAAGCAATAGGATGCTCCATTCCATAGCCACCAAACCTCCATTTACAAAGACATCAGAGGGAAGCATTGCATACCTTTCTGGATCCTGCTTGTCGATACGTGCTGCAGTGACATCATGAAACTTATTCTCATTAGCGGCAGTGACTTTATGTGACAATCCTATGCAAACATAAAGGAGAGCAAAACCTATTATGGTTCAATGGTTCAATGGCCACAGTAGCCTCAAAAACATCTATGCTAATCTTCCCTATAATGTCTTTAAATTTACTTCCCATCGTGTGCACCATTTTATAAGAAGGCTAAGGAGCAATGACTTTACTCTCCTCGTTCTATCAATGAAATAAACTGATGTCCAAAGTACTGCTCAGGGAGGGGCCTATGCACGAAATATTCCTCACATTCTAGGACTCATCGTAGACTGGAAATAGTGCTTTTTTATTAAGATTAACCTTATGAAGCCATATTTTAACAAATAGATATTTTGTGTGTAATTTTTATATATTTCAACCCTTCTACTCATTATCTCAGATAGATAGAGAACATTTAAAGGATGTATAATAAATCTGCCTGCGTTGGAGTTTGAGCATAACCTGAGATTTCCCATCCAAGTTTACCTCCATGCATAGACACATTTCCTGTTCACTCATAAGAGCACCACCACTCACATCATTCCCAAGTGTCTGGTTGTCCAGGAAACCAAATGTTCTGAAGCCACAAAGTGAATCTGCCTATCTGCTAGTCATTCAGCTTTCAAGCCAGGCATCAAATCAAAAGACAAAAGAATATTTTAAAGTTAGAGTCTGGGACCCTTTCCTCAGCTTATGCTGTAAATTTTCCAACCCCTCGATCACACTAAAAGCTGTCTGTGACAATATCAGTGACTTAAGATAGACGTGTTTACCTAAGTGGCCATGCCATTTCAGGTAGAAGAGGCTGCAAAGGAAGGTTGTGTAGAAACCTGAAAACTCAATTCCATTCAAATTAGAGTCTAGATAGTTACTGTTATTCTCCAGTTGTGTTTGACTCTTGAGGGACAAATCTAGGCCAGTTCTGCAAACTAGGAAGACATCTGTTTTTCCAAGAAATCTGCAGAAATTTCTCTTCTCTGCGCCACTGGTGAATCATCAAAGGGCTTAAGGTCAAGGCTTAAGGTCAAGATCAGTCAAGCTGAGCTGAAATATAAACAGTAGAGATACTGGAAAGAGTAGGTGTTTCTGTTATCTTAGCATGTTGTGTTCTCTCTCTCTCTCTCTCTCTCTCTCTCTCTCTCTCTCTCTCTCTCTCTCTGAATTCCCCTCTCAAAACTGATAATCAATTAAAGAAACAATTTATGGAAACTTTTATTCCAAAAGATTAATCTGTTATCAGCTGAGAGCTTCATATTTATGACGGGAAAATCTCTATGTTGGTTTAGGATGCTGTATCGTGTAACCTAGAAAATAGTTGTTAGATAGGGCAGTGCATGCTCTTTATATATCTATAGGCCTTACTGACACCCTCATTCTGCAACTCTTGTACCTCTCTATTGGTTAGTATTGGTTCTTAACTGGTTGAACTTAAAAGCCTCATTTAAAAGCCACAAAAAAAAGGGTTTCATTACTGTAAAATATGATTGGTGGCTTTTTACAATAAAAATCAGAAACAGAGAATGTAAAGATGGTTCAACCCAACAATCTTCTAAATGTCCTCTTTCAAATGAACTTACTTGAACAAAAATTTAAGGAGGAAAAGATATCGCTTCTCACCAGCCTATGTTCCAGCAAAGCTGACGAATTGAATATCTTTAATGTCTTATGTATAAATTTACTCATAAAGAATCAAATTATTAAATGTTAATATTTTACACTGTTTATGACTTAAAATACCCTGTATCTTTTTTTATTTGTTTCATTATAGAGAAAAAATGGTGAAAATTTAAGCCCAGAAAGTTAAAACTCACTCTCAGAGCAGTCTGTCTTCTGAGTCGCAGAGATGTTGTAGATACCTTTTTTCTCTCAGTTCCTTCCCTGGCACTAGCCTAAGCAAAATGAGCTTTTTTATTTCCATATCTCTTGACATAATATGAGTTATATGTCAATCAGCTTTCATTTCTGAGAAACAAATCTTCCTACTTTTGGTTTGCAGATACCCTGGAACCCAATGTGCTTAATGTAGCAACCCTATACATCTTTTCTAACCTCAGCTCCCTAAGAAAATGCCAAGTATAGCTGTGGGAGTGAATTCACAATTTGCTAGGTGGCAAATACTAGTCCAAAGGAGGGCTTTTCTGGTCAGAACAATGCCCAACGCTGAAATTTTGTGGACTTGGGCAGCTTCCTCCTCCCATGTTCCTTAGCTATAAAGACTATGGTTCTGTGAGGTTTAAACAGGAGTCATTGTAAGAAACTAAAAAATGTCTAGTATGTAGTGATTATTCAGATTTGTCGCTCCAACAGATCCTTAAGTTTGGAGATCTCAGTTTCTCAGTTCAAATAAAGTATACTGCATTGCACAAGCTGATCAGAAAAATCATTTCACGAACCCCATGTCAGCAAGAAAATGCCTTTTCAGCAACAAATATATGTTGAGAAGCATTATCACCAAATAGCATTTAAAGTGGCAGTTGTAAAAGCTAAGATCTTTGCGCATTGTGAGTAGTGGGCTCTTGAGGGCCCATGCCAATCCATGTCTATTTATTAGTCTTTCAATGGCTCGTGGCAATCTCAGATTACGTTCACAGGAAATTAATGAAACACGACTCCTTGCATTGTTTTCATAATGCCACCTTCACACGCCATTGTAAATTTCTAATGGGACAATCAAAAACCTCACTTAACCCTGCAGACCATCTGAACTCTAGATGCCTTAATTTTATGCATAATGTTCACATGTAAGTCTATTTCTTTGAAAAAGTATAATCCCAGCCAAGGCCTCCAGGGTGATAAAACTAGGGAAGTCTCAAATTAATAAAAAAAACACATATCTTTATGGATGCTCATTATCTATCCAATAATTCTTCAAGTTTTGTCTTACTCTTTACTCCATGCATAAAATGAGAATCATTTCTTATCTATATGATGCAGTTGATAATTCATAGGCTTAAGCTATTAGAATTTAGTCTTTTAGTCTTTTAAAACTTGATCCTGAAGAGGATGTAACTTAGGCTCATATTAACCATCACGCTTGCAAATAGGCATTGTTAATAGCAATGGAGTCTGATACAATTGTTCATGAATAATCTTCCCTTTAAATGAATCACTTTTTATTGGGAACAACTGTAAGTTCTAGTCTATCACAAAAACAATGCAAAGGAATATTTCCTCATTTTTAAAAATATAGTCTTTTAATTAGACACTTTTGCCTCTGATCATTAACATCATGAATTGAGTAGGCATTGGTCATCACTGACTTTCCTTCTAAAGTGAGGCTCTTGGAAGGTTACTAGATTTCTGCCAGTGGAAATCCTCACTACTGTGGTCATCCAGATTCCTGTGATCCCTTAAGAGTGGAGCCTTAAGTGAGCTTTGTATCCCTTTCTAGGAAGAAACTTCCTTTGGGATATTCATCTGTAGCTGTAAGGTACCCAAACCCATAGGTCCTAAGCACTCTCTCCCAGGGCGAATGAGGAGGAGGGTTCTGCACACATTGTGTCTCCATTAACTATGCCCTTCTGGCTAGAAGGCCTGTTGCATTCACACAGGAATCCCTGCACAGCCTCCCCTCTTTATTCTGCCCAGCGTCTCCCTTCACCGATTGCAAAACACAAACTACTTATGTTGCGCAATCATTGCAGATCATACACACATATCAAAACTCCCAGTCTCTCATAATGGCATGTGAATATTATGTGTCCATTAAAAATTCTAAAGTCATAAAACTATACAACCTTCATACCTTGATCAAAAACCTGGAAATGATTGAATTTAAAGAGAATTTAAAGTAATGTTCTTGAACTAAGATGACTTCCTTGGTAGGCCCTTGGGAAAGGTTTAGGGCTGGTGGTGGCACAGCGTTTCTGTTACGTGGCCACAGACTTCTCACAACATGAAAAGACACTAGCTCCAACACTCATTTGGGAGCTCATTCTTCGAGGACTTGGATGTATGGGCATGAATTAGGAGTAAGGCAATCACTTTCTTCCTGTGAATGTGTTAAAACGGAGATGCAGGGTTTCGCTCAGGTTAAAACCACATCAATTATCAAAGAAGCAACTACTGTTGGGAAATAGCCCCCCATCTTGTAGAAGCATCTGACATCCGCAGACCAAGTCACACTAGAACACTATTCTACATGTCTCCTTCCACATCACCTGAGTGACAGGTGACTGTCAGATGGTTCCATTTCCTCCTCCATAACCTTGCTTCGTCCTTCATTTCTTGCTCCCATCCTCTGCCACAGGGCCACCAGCATCCCGACTGACCTGCTTCATCTGCTCCTGTGGGCCATCCTTCACATTCTAGTGATGACTCCTAACTGTAACTTCTTAGCAGGCTAGACTGCTGGCTAAACCATGGTTCCCCATGAGCTAAACGCCTCAGCCTGATCTAAGAGGCCCCTCAAAGTCTGATTCTATGAGATGGCTCTAGCTTGTCTCCCACCGTCATTGTTCATTCCAACCTTGTGAGTTTCTGTTCCGGAAGTATACCACATCATGTGATCAAACCCCAGTCATTGGCATACCAACTTCATATTATTGCCATGTACCTCTTGTATTATTATTTGCATATTGTTTTTGATTGACTGCATTTTAACTAAAATAAAGTCATTTCAAATAAAACTTTGTATGGTATGGGTACTATGAATAGAAAACTGCACTCTGTAGTTAAAATCAATTATAAAAATAAATAGAAGCAAAATGAAACATTATCTACTTCTACCAAGATACCATTATCTGCTGAAACCTCAGAACACAATGCTTGTTCTCTGATGAGAAGGAGACTGGCAAGCATTACAGAGAGGAACACTACATTCGAGAAACATGGGAAGATTTCTTCCTTTAGTTTATTAGCACTGAGATGGAATTGATGAGGAAGTCTGTTATTTTATCAAGTATTGTCTAATGCTTGGTGCTAGATCAGTGTGGACACAGTCATCCCTGCATCTTAAGAAGCCGATACCCACCCCTGTGTAAACTGTTCATTTTGCTAGAATTTCCCTCTCTGTGTAGCCTTCTGATAAGCAGTCTCTTATTTCCTATGGGTAAAACAAGTCTCCGTCTGTAGAAATGGTCTCATGGTGAAACTCTGCCTTTCCTGGGTGGCGGTTGTTTTTCCTTCCTCCCTCCTATCAAGCTGTGCATTTTTTCAGTGTTTTCTATCTTTGCCTCACGCTTGTAATCACCTGCAATGCCCCTGCAGAAGACGAAGCACCCTTTGAGCACGTGGACACTGTCCTAAGTGTGCATGTTGACTGCCTAGCACAGGATTCAAAGCATGATAGATAATGTCAGCATCAGTGGTCCAGAACAGGAGTTACTTATATAGACTTGAGACTATGTGAAGAGTCCATATAATTTACGGCATTTTAAAAGCCAGAAACAAAAGAGTAGTCTATGGGTTATTTTTTTTAAGTAGATAATTTGGATTAAGCTTCCTAAATTGTAGGAAAACAAGCAAACAAGACAACCCAAACCAAAAAAGTAAAGCCAGCTTCTGAAAAATAGGGGTTCCTGGTCTACATTATATTTTATAGTAAACTCATAAGCATCATACGTATCGCACATAACTTTTGCACTCAGTCTGGCTTTGTCTCCACGGCCCCTCCTCCACCCCTGCTAGTAACCCTTCAACTCCACTCACCCTTCTCCCTGCCTACTTGTTTTTCTAAGATCTCAAACTAGAACTTCTTCACTGGACAAGGGTCACTAGGTCAGTCCAGTAAAGCAGAATTTTACATTCAGTATTGAATTTACACTGACCCGAAGTTTGGAAAGCTGCACAGAAAGGCTTTTATACTACATGCCCCCCCCAAGAGTTTCAAATGTTTAAGCTCATTAAAACATGAAGTTGACATCCTGTACAAGTACATGGGAATTATAACCTAGTGCAGCCTTGCAACATCCGTGGCCAGAGATCTCTATTCTGGATGGTTCTAGTTCACGGGTAGACATGATATAACTGGTTGCGAGGAACTGGAAGGACTCTGATGGTACCATACAAGACTTCTGTTTCCAGAAGTGTACTTAGTTTTCCTTTTTGATTTAAAAAGAGCATCTGTCACATTGTTTGCTTTAAAGTAAAACCTTCAGCTGTCTATTCACGTGGGTGATTTTAAGGTCACCCATATTGAAAATGACAGCATTTTTTCTCGACTGTGTAATTTCTTTACAACTTGTGGATCTAGTAACACCTCTGACCACGTCAAACTCCATGCCTATCAGATATGGCATCAGTCCCTGTGCTGCCAATACTGTGATGCTGGAGGGAGCAGCACCAGCATCTAAGAGGGAAGCCTCATTGCTCCTGATCACAAACCAAACACCCCCCTTCCAAAAAAAAAAAATCACCAGATACTCAAGCAGATTCTGAGAGATGACCATTCCAGGACCTTGTAAATGTTTACGCCTATAAGACCACACTGTCGGTGTTCCATGACTGGGCAAGGGTTTGTGTTCTTCTAAACCCCTGTCTGCCACTCTGATGGTGCATGCTTGTCATTGCTAAGCTTAGAGGGCTAAGGCACGAGGATTGTAAAATCTGAGCAAGCCTGAGATATCCTAGGGAAGCCTGCCTTGCCCTCTCTCTATCAGAGTCCAAACAAATCATGAAGATGCTTGTGACATTTATCTTTGAGTCACAGCTTAAGATCACAGAACCATTTTGCTGCTCATAGTCACCAAAGCAATAAAATGTGGATCTGGAAAGAGAATCTGGCCTCCTTTCTCTGTGGTGTAGAAATCCCAAGTCCAGTAGCGACCATTCATTCTTGCCCAGGCTTCTTTGTCAACCCTCCACTCTAAAGGTTCACATTGTGGAACTTTCCCTGGTGCTTGTCTGCGCTCAGCAAAGAATAGATATGCTGGAAAGAACGGGAGCCCAGAAACCATCAAGGTCTAGGTTTGGAGCCTCCCTCTCTCACATGGGGGAGATCAAGTGAGATCAAATTATTAAATAAAAGCTTTAGCGTACTATGTTGTCATCTAGTAGTATGCAATTAATAACAAGTCTTAGCCAGGCATGGCTATAACCCTAGTATAAGTGAAGACTGAGGATCCAGACAAGGGAATTAAGAGTTCAAAGATAGCCTGAACCATACATACATACATATATGTGTATATATATACATATATATGTATGTATGTATATATATATAATTTAAACAATCATATCTTTTTATGTAGACAAATGTTCTGTGTCTGAGAGAGGGAAAGGAATCCTGATTTAGCGACTCAGTTCGGGTTGAAGGGTGAGCAGTAGAGGCGGTGGCTTCAGAGAGTAGAATTTCAGCCTTTGTCTCCAGATTCACACCCGGCAACCCCCATCCACCCAACCACCCATCCCCACTTTCTTCACTCAGCTACCCTAAAACATCAGAGAACAAACTTCCTGAGGACTGGACTGGCCCAGTGGGGGCACATGTTTTTTTTTTTCTCCAAAAAGAAAGCAGTTTTGCAAATTCAGAAATGAAGACGATGGTTTGCTCTGTCCAATTAACGAGAGCTAATTTAGATTTTAAGGCCATTCGTTATGCATAGCAGGCCCAGCACTTTGGCTCCCCTTGAGACCCAGCACTCCTCTGAACTCTGTAAACAGTCACACCTTCCAGTTTAGGCTTTGGTCTCCTGGCCATGCTACAGTTCCCATTTTGAGGAAATTGGTGCTTGGCAAATAATGAGACATTTTGCAGATTATGAAGGTTATAGCATAGTGTTCTCCTGCCATATGACTTAATTTAATTAAATGTGCTATAGTAATAACTGGGCTGTAGAATAGGCCCGTTTGCCCCAAGGTAACTGTGAGAGTGGCGCAAATATGAAATGCGCTGTCCAACTCAGCAGCCTGTGGAGAATTCAGTGAACCCTACTTATTTTTAAGGGGTGTGTGTGAGATGAGTGAGAAGCAACCCTGGGAATTTTTAGCCCAACAGAGCTTTCCAAAATATGCTTGCAAAACACGAGTCAGCAAAATTTCTGTCTGCCCTTGAAATCATTCCATGGCCACTGGGTCCTAAAGACACTTATGGAAGCAGTTAATGTGGTTGTCTGAGACTTTGATCAGCATGTCTGGTCTACCTCCTCCCTAAACCCCACTCCCAAGGTGTCAGGGTCTCCAGCAGGAGCATCTTCTTCAGAACGGGGCCCGCATACAGGAGTCAGGATGCCAAGATGCATTTCCTTTTCCAGCTGATGCCTAGGTAAGTAAATTATTTGTAAGATTTCAGATGTGTACAAATACTAAATTACTCTTATTAGTGATGTCTGAGTTATGGTTTCTGTTGCTATGATGAAACGCCATGACCAAAAACAAGTTGTGGAGGAAAGGGTTTATTCAGCTTACACTTCCACATTGTAGTTCATCATTGGCAGCCATTTCCTGGGTAGCCTCACTTTTGATGAGAACACTAGATGAGGCCAAACAGAGTTCTTTTATTCCAGTTTAATTTACTGACATTAAGTCTCAGATCACACATTGTGCGTCTCATGGTAGCTATGTCTCAACAAGTGTATATGCAAATTACAGCGTAACAACCAAGGATTAAAGAGGCAGAGTCCTGAGAGGAGGCCTTCTTAACCTCTCCAAAGAGACCTGAGCAGGAATATCCGGGCAATGGACTGAAATGCAAAGGAGCATGCAGGGAGAAAATAAAGAACCAGCTGGGAGTCTCTGGGGAGGTCCCAAGGCTGCTGCTGTAGAGTCTGGCTGCGGGATTAGGGAAGAAGGTAACTTGCAGAGGTGAAAGTCAGGAATGGGTCCAGGCTAATGAATGAGCAGATGGATAGGTGGCATATCCAGATGGGAGAGCAGGAGGGCAGGAAAACCGTAATTTGAGTAACCCACATCAACAGACAACAGACGGGACAAAGCTAAGCTGAAATCCAAGATAGTCAAGAGTTTTCTGCCTGTTTGTCCTTGACCCTTGAATGGGGAGATGACAGTTGGGTGGGGCCAATACAATGTTAGATATCCTTCTCTTGTGTGATCCAGATGCAAACACTGCACCGTTTCCTCAGTCTGCTGTGTCCAATAAGTTGTGTCTCGGGCCTGATATAATTTTAACACACCCGTGTACCTCTACCATCCAAATTTTTTTTAAAGATTTATTTATTTATTATGTATACAACATTCTGCCTCGATGTATGCCCGCACGCCAGAGCAGGGCACCAGATCTCCGTACAGATGGCTGTGAGCCACCATGTGGTTGCTGGGAATTGAACTCAGGACCTTTGGAAGAATAGTCAGTGCTCTTAACCTCTGAGCCACCTCTCCAGCCCTACCATCCAAATTTATACTGATAAATTTGTAGGGTGGTACACTTTCTATTTCCAGGAATACGATAACTGTCGGTGACTTGAAGACGGTGCCAGACAGATAATGTGGTTTATGGGTCTAGCCACATATAGAGCATCAAAACACTGTCAAAAACTACTTCTAAATTGGTGTCTTTCAGAGCAAGGCAAAATTGAAACAAAACAAAAGAAACAAACAAAAAATGCTGTTTTGCATAGTATCTTCATTTGCTTTCTGTTGTTGTCGCTGAAGGCTGAGTACAATCAACTTGGGAGGAAAAGGTTTATGTC